CTGCTGTGCCGGTTGGGGCCCCTCTCCAGTTCCTGAAAAGTGGTTTTCTCAGGTAGTTTTAGATCTCTCCTAAGACGGGTCTGATGGTGTTCTTCACTTTCTCAGAAGGTCAAAACAGCATTCAGCCCAGTGGTTTTGAAGCCAGCTCCTTCCTTGACATGGCAGTCAGGGTCCTCCTCGGGTTGTCCTAAACGTCCCGGGTCTGTACCGTCCTCTTGCAAGAGAAATATTCCAGCCGCCCAACACTTGAATGCTGTTCCTCTCAACTGTGTGTGTGCCCTGCTCCCGGCCTGAGAAGACCGCTGCTCACGACCACGTCCCCTCCTGGCCATCTGCACCCGTCATTCCTTCCCTGGTGCAGACGCGGGCTCTTCCGGGTTTTCTCCTGGTTCCTCTCCTGCTGTCTGAGCCATGCCTGGTCCTCTTGTTTTCTGTGGTTACCCACGTGGTTGCTTCTTCAGGTTCCTTGAGAACAGGGACATTGCTTATTTATCATATCCCCCTGAGGGCCAGCATCCCTGGACTTCCCTGGGCTTGTGACCACAGCTCGGACCTCTGTCCTGTCATCACAGAGCCACCTTCTCTGTGTCTGTGTCCAGATTCGCCTCCTCCCAGGAGGATACCTGTCATTGGATGAGGGCGCAGCCTGGTCCAGGGTGGCCTCAGCTCAATGACATCTACAGAGACACTGTTTCCAAACAAGGTCATATCCACAGGTACCAGGAATTAGGATCTGGCCATCTCTTCGGGGGGGGAGACACAATTCTGTTTTCTCTACTCAAAACCATTTGAACTACTACTGCTTGTCACCTTTCAGGTGAGTCATTGAGACTCTGGTCACTCGCCTCCCGCTCTTGATCAGCAGTTCCAGAGATAAGACCTGGTCCAACCAGGCAGATCTTCGCATCCTGGAATACTCAAACTGAAAAGCGTTCATAGAAGTCCTTTTGTTTAAATTTTACAGTTGTAAAAGGTAGACAAACCATCTTATTTTCTTGTGCTTCAGGTCTTACAGTTGTGACCATAAAGCAGACAAGTACTACTGTGTTCCCTGATGCCAGGGGCACTGTTCCTCCCTTGTTTTCAGCAAAAAGTCAAGAAAGAAGGTGTTTCTGATCAGAGTCAGCGCCTTTAAAGTACCGATATTTAAAGACAGATATTTTAAGGCAAGGGCCTGAGACTTGTTTTCACCCCGAGTCCTGCAGAGAGTCGCCCTCAGCAAAGTGCCAGGAGCTGCAGCTGGTGCTCCTGGAGGCTGCTTGATGACTGGAGGCTGGAGTGAGTGTGGGCGTGCAGGGAATATGTGTGGGCTATGGTCACAGCTAACTCCAGGGTGGCAGGGAGGAGCCCTCGGGGTGCTGGAGGTTTCCTCACGTCCTCACGACAGGGAATGCAGAGCCATAGTCTGACCCCAGGCCTCCTTCTGAAATACCATTTCACCTCCTGCATTTCCTGTCCCAGATGACTCTCAACTAGCATTCCCTCTACAGCAAGTCACCCACATATAAGCAAGTTCTGTTCTAAGAGCAGGTTTCATAAGTCCAATTTGTTTGTAAATCCAACAAAGTAAGCCAACTAACACAATCGACTGTGTAGTGGACTGTAATAATATAATATATATTCTATGTATATACAGTAGAGGTTTATAATACTTTTTCACACAAACACATGAAAAACATAGAAAATAAAACATTTTAAATCTTACAGTACAGTACCATGAAAAGTACAGTAGTACTGGCTACCTCACTCCTGTTTTACACCTGCTTGCGGACGTCCTGGGCTTGAAATAAATATACTGTAACTCAATACAGTACATACAGTAAGGTACACAAAAGCACAACCACTTGTGGAGAATGCGTGCCAGGTGACACTGTACGCCAGACACGTGAACTCACTTACGTGATTGGACATGTGAAAGCACAGTCACGTCTTTTGAAAGTTCACAACTTGAAGGTCCATATATAGGGGACTTATTGTACTAAGTTCAGAGATGGGGAATGTCAGAATTGCAATTAGCTGTTAAACCAGTGACAATATTCGTGTGAAAGTAGAATAGAGTTTTCCTCGTATTTTAGACAAAACTTTTTAAGGTATTTGGGTCAGTAAGTTGGATAATCTGACAAACATCTTTTCTTCCCATATCTTTTCATCTTTTTAAATTAAAAAGTAGCATGAAACAATTTATGGGGCATTATAGTGAAAATGAAAGTCACTCAGTCTTGTCCGACTCTTTACCACTCCGTGGACTATACAGTCCATGAAATTCTCCGGGCCAGAATACTGGAGTCGGTAGCCTTTCCCTTCTCCAGGGGATCTTCCCAACCCAAGGATCAAACCAGGTCTCCTGCATTGCAGGTGAATTCTTTACCAGCTGAGCCACAAGGCTCTTTATGAAATTTCAGTTCTTCCAGAAGGGCTGTCCTCAGTTTGATTGATATTTGAGTCAGTGTTGCCCCTCAAAAATAAGGGCTGAACACGTTGCTCTGTAATGATAATTTACAAGTTCCTCTGTAAATGATAATGCTGTCTTGGCAAAATATTATTCTTGGGGCAAAATGGATTGAACAAGAAAATACAGGACAATTAGATCTTTGTTGATTTTCGCTTTTTATGACTCCAGCCTGTGTGCTGTGTTTTTAGTAATTGCAGAGGATGTTTTTAATAATGATCTTGTGTAAAATGTTGTGGTTTGAGTTACAGGCACTGGGAGTTGTTGGGCTGGGGTGACAGAGAACTGGCTTCAGGAGCTGTGCTCCCCAGGAATGGCTGGTTGACGACTCCCTTCTTCCTCCAGTGACCCGGTCCTCAGGTCGGCTCTCAGCTCATGATGGCAAAAAACAGGCCCCAGCTGTGCAGCCCAGATGGGGGTCAGGGAGCAAGGCCTGGATTGAAAGTGGGAGACAGTTGCTTTCTGAAACAGACTTACATGTTGTATGAAAACTAGAAGGAAGGATGCTGGGCCTAGCAGCTTAGAGCTTGGGCTGTTGAGAAGGTGCAACCAGAACTTGATGCTTTGGGGACTACGATTTAAGACAACAAATCTGCTCCCCAAAAAGCACATATTCATTATTACCAGGGCCTGAAAAAGAAAGGACCAGTGATGCACAGTTCATGGTTGGGGACCAGACACTGTAGCTATGTCCTTAAAATATCGTGACATCAACAGTTCTTCAGGGAATTACCGCCATTCTGGAGCACTTAGCTGTGTCAGCCTCTGTGTGAAACATTTTCACATAATCCCTGCTTCGACTTTGTGAGCGTGGTGTTAATGCTCTCATGCTGAGCAATGGGATCTCAGAGAGTTTGAATCTGAAACCATGTGTGTCTGACTTGGCCCTGCCATACCGTCTGTTAGTTTTACAGTGTACTTTGTCTGTCCATCAGGCCCCCCTAATTCTGCATCTGTCCCCCACCCTCTTACCTCAGTGCTGTCAGCACCTGGCACCCCACTGGCCTCCATCCACACTGAACCATGTTGGTTCTGCCTCTGGATGTACCTGCCACCAGCATCCGTCCCCCCTTCCCCCGCCTCAGTTGCCATCTCACTAGCCTTCATTTGAAGGCTCTGAACTCTTAGAATAAATTCTACTTGGCCTTTTTGCTTCTAGTTTTAATCTGCCCTAGCCCGGCTTCCCCTCTAGCCGTGGACCAACCTCTCGAAAGTGTAGACTGAGTTTAGGGACCTGTTGGCCTTGGCCACTCGCTGTCCTCAGAGATGAGCTGGCCTGCTGTCTCCCACCTGCCTCTCCAGCTCTGTCTTCCTTAAATCCTAGGGACTTCCCTTCCCCTCCCCCACTGCTTAAACCTGAAAATATGAGTCTTACCCCATCCTTTTCTGTCTTGCACTTGGACGATCTGTAGTTACACCTTTATAGATGACAGCGCGCCCAGTATTCCTCACTGAACCGTGTCCTCCCTGAGGGCAGCGATCACCCCTGCTTCGTTAACCAGCTGCTCAACCTCTGGCTTCGAGCGCAGTGGCTGCAGGGGCCCAGATCTGTGTGGAACAAATGGGTTAACAGACTTGTAACTGAAGAGCCCAAAGCAGTGCCCTTTCTAGTCTTTGAGTTCTGATTTCACTTGTGGCTGAAGAACTGACCTGTGTTTGGAGCAGTTTTGTCTCAGTGGCTTTTGGTTTGCTTAGGAAAAAACATGCTCCCTTTATGGCTGATTGTCATTGTCTGCAATTCAGCTTCTGCGCAGTAATGCACTCAGTTTTCCAAACTTCCATGTCAGAACCAGCCACGGTAGAAGAAAAGACTAAGTTCCAGGTGAAGTAATTCCTCTTGGTCTGGCCTGAGACTGGGTGGGTGGGAGAGGAAGACCAGGGCTTTCCTGACTGCTTCCAGATTCCCCCCTGATGGTGCAGAGGTGGGCACACTCCAGGTCCTCCTACCTCGGCTGTGCCGCCCCCCAGAACCCAGGCATCTGGTTCAGCTGTCTCCACACACCTGCGCCACTCCTGCCTGCTGTCTTTGAGCAGAGTTTGCTTTTAAAAAAAATTTTATGTATGTATTTTTGTTTGTGCTGGATCTAGTTGCGGTGCACGGGTTTCTTCTTGCAGTGGCTTCTTGTTTCAGAGCATGGACTCTAGGGCGTTCGGGCTTCAGGAGGTGCGCGGCACTGAGACTCAGTAGGTGTGGCGCACGGGCTTAGTTGCCCTTAAGGCATGTGGAGTCTCCCTGGACTAGGGATCGAACCTGTGTCTCCTGCACCGGCAGGCAGATTCTTATCCACTGGACCACCAGGGAAGTGCCCAGAGTTGCTTTGGAAGGAGACTTTTTCTCTCCAGTGATTTATTATCTCAGCAGCCCTCCCAGCCTTGGTCACGGGAACTGGCCGTCAGAGTCTGCAGCCAGGGCTGTGTGCCCCCAGTCTGCGAGGTCTCGGAAGCTGGTATCTTCCGTGTGCACGTGCATGCAGGCTGGGAGACTCGTCTTCCCGTGACCGTCCTGAGTGTTGCCGCTCACACTCCTCCTTTCCCTCTTGTTGATCTGCAGTTGGTCATGCTCAGAGCTGGACCTGAACGAGATTCGCCTGATCGTTTCCCAGGACTGTGACAGGAGAGGCAGACAAGTCCTGTTTGATTCTAAAGCTGTCCACACGACGGAGGAGGTGGCAGCTCAGGTAGGAAACGTGGGTTTGCTTCCTCTTTTGCATCTGTGCTTTAACCGTCTCTGGTCAGTCCAGCAGCTGCTCGCTGGGCTGAGTCATACAGCCTCGTTAGTGATTCAGAAGAAACAGGGGCCAAGGTTCCTCGACCACCCCAGTTGAGTACTTACTAATACACACAGGTGAGACCATTAGCCAGTCATCATGCAGATGCTAAGCAGCTACTATAGATGTTACCAGAAGTGAATTTGCTAGTGAGTCACAATCCAATAGGTTTTTCATGCCAAATATGTGCTGTATAATGAGAAAGCTAAGAACTCTAAAATTCATGAAGCATTTGCCTGAAGAGAAGGTCTGATATTTACCATAGACAGTAAGAGGTGATACGTAGCACTGGGATAAAAGAAGTGGAGAGCTTTCCACACCACAGGGTTGCAGGGTACTAGCAAAAGGGCTTGTGTCTACAAAAGGGCCTATGTCTCAAGCCTGCTTGACCAAGGATGTTTATTTATTTTCTTTTTTTAGTGGAGGGCAGAGTGGTGGTAGTGGTGATGGAGGTGATGATGGTGATGGTGGTGGTGATGGTGGAGATGGTAATGATGATAGAGATGGTGGTGGTGGTGGTGGTGGTGATGGTGAAGATGTGGTAATGATGGAGTGATGGTGGTGGAGATGGTGATGGTGGTAGTGGTAATGGTGGTGTGGTGATGGTGGTGGCAGTGGTGCTGGTGATGGTGGAGATAGCTGTTGTGGTGGGGATGGTGGTGGTAATGATGGTGGGGTTGGTCGTGGTTGTAGTGGTGATGGTGATGGTGGTCATGGGGGAGATGGTACTGGTAATGATGATGGTGAGGCTGGTGGTAATGGTGGAGGTGGTGATGGTGGGGGTATGAGGCATGGGGCACCTGGGTGTGGTAAAAATGAGGACAGAGTAGCCGTTGATCCCTTGGAGCCAGAATGGGAAATGTAGAGCAACGTGTCTGATGGGAGCAGAGTCTGGTCCTCCCTGTGAGTCTTCAGGATGGCTGTCCAGTGTACTTCTGACTTGTCGCCTTTCAGCAGTTATCCAGATGTCTACAAATTAAATCCTCTCCTGTTCCTTCTTTTCATGTTCAGTAACCTGCTACCTGTCTTGACTGAGTCCTGGTGCTTTAGAGACTGTGCATTTAAATACCTGAATAGTTTACGTCAGAGTCTCCGTCTCTTCAGGGCTGAGATCCCTTCCTGCTTTCAATAAGGTCATTTCTACAGGAAGGAAGTGTTTGGTTAAAGGCAGATTAGCTGGGCAGATCCCATGGTGCTCTCATGTGGAAGTCGGCCAGGTAGCTAATCATTACAGTAGTTGTCAGGCATGTTAGGTAAGTGGGGGACTGGGGGATGAGAATTCTCTCAGATGATTCCCTGAGGCTTTCATGGTAGATTCGTATCTAAGTTTAGGTGAGCTGATACTTGGCCCTTTGTTTGGTGACAGCATGCGGTTTCCTGCTGATTTCCCGCATCATTTCCTATTTCCCTGAAGGCATTGCACAGATGGTATATTTGCACATCCATACTCTGTCACCTGGGCTTTTGATGGTGGTAACAGGTAGAGGGAAAAAAATCTCACTGGTTGGCAAAAGGAACCAGAATCGTATCTGTAGGGGCAGTGATGACCCTGGGGTGTGCAACAGAAGTGTCCCGGAAAGTGCTCATTTATTAATAATTACAGAGGCAGCTGGGCCCGGGTAGGCTTGGAAACTGTCTGGGGTTACCGAGAACAAGTCTGGTCTGGGCTCTGCTCACTGGACTGGGTGCCGTCACTACCCGCGGATGGCTCGGCCGGAGGGCCTGGCGGTGCAAGACGGGTGTGGGTCTTGTGTCGCTGCAGGACCACGTTCCTGGCTTCAGCGGCGTGAAGCTGCAGGCAGACCTGAAGAGACCACTGAGGGTGTGCATATGCTCAGGAGGACCCCACATCCTGGGCCTCCAGCCCTGCCCGTGACCACTGGGGACACATGCTTCCTGTTCCCCTTCCGCCCCTCCCCATCTTCAGCCTTCCCCCCACCGGCAGGCACCAAGCGTCAGCAGTTGGCAGCAGGCACATGACTGCAGGCATTTGCATTCGACCACCAGTGTGACTGTCACATTGCAGATTAGATAAGCTGCAGTTGCATTCATGGTTGTCCAAGCAGAGCTGCACACAAAAAGCAAATAAGACTGAGGATAGAAACCACGCTTCACAGAGGGGGCACTGCATCTGGAGCGGGGAGTGTGTCTTGGCACAGGAGGACGGGAAATGTCAGTACAGGTGTATCTTTATTCCTCTGTGTCACTGTCATAGAAACCAGCTCTGGACTCCATGTAGGAAATGTGTGTAGCTCACGCCGTGTGAGCCCTGACCTCTGGAGGCTGGATACATCACGTGCTGGGTGTCACAGGAGCCCCTGTTCAGTGCTCTGTCTTCATCTTTCACAAGCCCGACCGCGTGACTTTCTCTGAAGCAGTGCAGGAGGGTGTGTCACCAGAGCACATGCCTGGACTTTCCAAATGAATCTTCTGCCTTCCTAATTCCTTTTGCCTGGTGAAAATTTAAATTTGAATCAAGGACTGTATCCTCATCAGTGTTGTCATCTATGAGTATACAAAGTACTCCAAAATCCTCTAATAATCAAAACAGAGGTCAGGTCTCATCAATGATTTTCAAGTATGAATTGAAACGTCAATAACAGCTGCATTACTTAAAGAGAATATTCTTGAGACATCCCCTGGTGGTCCAGTGGTTAGGACTCAGTGCTTTCATGGCAAGGGCCCAGGTTCAGTCCTTGGTTGGGGAACTCACATCCCTCAAGCTGCACCATACCTCCAAAAAAAATAATGACAATAATAAAACAAAGAGAATGGTTTTTTAAAATAATTTTATTTATTATATTTTTGGCTGTGCTGGGTCTTCGATGCTATGCAGGCTTTCCTCTAGTTTCGACAAGTAGGGGGTACTCTTTAGTTGCAGAGCAGTTTAAGTAAGGGCTCCCCAGCGAGCATGTGTGGGAGCCTGGTACACTTGCTGGTGGTGTGTTCACACTGCCTTTCCCTCTTCACCCAGAGAACGGAGGACCTCCCTGTGAAAGTGCCGGCCAAAAGCTGCCTAGGAGGCGGCCCTGCTGCTCATGGCCCTTCAGGGGGATCTTTACCACATGCCAAGGAGCAGCTTCCCAAGTACCAGGTAAAGCCGCCCCTGCGAGCGCAATAGCCCGAGGGCTGAAGTCACTTACTGTCATTTCCCCCTGGGGATCACGGTGCAATAGGAGACTGCAGATCCAAGAATGCGTCTCAGGTGTTTTAGGTCGGTGCTGTGCTCACACTTTGGCTTTTATCTCTCCATAAAAACTAGAGAAAAGTGGAGCAGGGGGCATCCAGGGTAACACAGACCAAATGAGGAAGGAATATTGCAGAGGAGGTGACCCCTCCTGTTTTGCTTGTTTGGTTGTCAGAACCGGGCTAATGCATGTGTTTTCTAGTTTTGTCAGAAGAGTTCTGAGGAGTCTGGGCATGCGGGTGGACATCCTGAGAAAATTGCTCTTGCCAGTAGAAGGAAGAAAGCTTCTTATAGGAGCAGATGGAAAGGCAAGACCTAAGTTGAGTGTAAAGAATAGAGGCTTGGTAGCATTTTTATGTTGTCTGTGTGTGTGTGTGTGTGTGTGTGTGTGTGTGTAAGTAAGCAGAGGGTAAGGGTTATTGCAGGATATTGGCCAACCAGTCATAAGGGAAGTTGTTGCATAAATATGACTTGCAGAAGGGTACTACTTGTGGAGGATATGTCAGTTTGTATTTTTGTTTTTCTAGTCATGTGAGTTTTTCTACCGTGTTGCTAGAACAGCAAAGTCAGGGAAGGTACCAGCAGCCACAGGCATATAGAGCGTTGTTCTCTTCACAGCCAGGGTGGTTGCATGTGTCCACCCGTGTTCGACAGAATCCCAGGTCTCAGAGCAGTGTGTGTGTGTGGTTACAACAGCGCAGAGTAAATTATCTGTGAGTTGAGAATCACAGTTCGCATGTGGCCCTTGAGCTTCAAGAGAAAGCAGATTAGGAAATGGAGGTGGTGGGTTGAAGTTATTAATGAAGAATGTGAAATCCTGTCAGTTCTGTCTGCATGTAGAGAGAAGGGGTTGGTAGGAGCCTATTAAATTAGATGGATTCATTTCTGTTTCTCTTTCCTTCTGTGAAAATATGTGTAAGTAGGTGTATGTGTGTGTCCTTCTGTGTGTGAATATATATGTGTATGTGTGTGGATTTTGAGTTAAAAGAAGGGAGTGTTAAGTGTGATGCCACGTTTTTGCTTGAGTAGAAAGCGAAGCAGCCAAGAATCTGGCTGGTGGCCTGAGTCACGGGAGGTCGTGGTTTGGTTTTGGTCAGGCCATGTGGGTGCTCCTGGTTTGGTTGACACTCACATCCACATTTACAGTAGGAGCTGAGCATCCTTTATTCAAATGCATCCAGTCACGTACCATCATATTTCACAATATATAGATTTTGTGCCATGTGAGTAAAGGCATTTGGCTGCTGGCTTCCAGAGCCCCAGGCAAGTCGGGGTCCAGAGATGAGGGTGTGGGGGTTCCCACATGTCAGGAAGAACCAGAATAGCAGCAGTGGTTATGGACATGGGCAGTGATAGGAGGGCCCTCTAAGGAACAGTTCTGTCCAGGGGATGAGTCGGGAAAGCAGACATTTAAGAAGGAGAGCAATTAGCACATCAGATACTGTGAGACATTTAATAAAACAAACTGGGAAGTGCCCACTGGATTTCACAGAAGGCGAGGCCATCACTAGAGCTGTGTGAATAGTTGTGGGAGGAGGCAGTGCTGTCCACCCTCCATGCTGGCAAAAGGGACATGAAAGACTGGTCAGAGGTAAGGGTTCAGATATTTTAAAAATATTTTTTGTAAAACTTTAGGGGGATCAGACTGTCTATCATCTCTTGGACCTCACCTGCCCCAAAGGGTCCTTTTGTTCAGCAGCGTTAATTTTGGTTGAATAACCCTGGACTGTGTTTCTTTCCAGGATGTGTTCTTAGTAGCAAGAGAGCAGTCACCCTGTCTATTCCATCACCTAATCTTTCTACTTAGCCTTTGTAAATGGAGATGAGGAAAACCTTTGTGTCTCATAAGAAAGATTAAAAATGAGCTTCAGTAAAATGCTTGGGTCCTGTGTGAAGATATCATGTGTAAAGAAGAAATCAGGAACATTAGTGATTATTTGGGGAAAAAAGTAGGCAATCACCATTTTTACAATCACTGTGGTTGTAAAGCTATCAGATGCTGCTTTGGGAAACAGGTCTAATTACCACCAAGCTGAACATTATTCTCTGTCACACTGTGCATGATGCTGTGGTGGTTCCTTTCACGTCGGATAGTACACACGGCCCGCCTCTGATGTCAACATGCTCGGGGAGATGATGTTCGGCTCGGTCGCCATGAGCTACCAAGGCTCCACCCTGAAGATTCACTATATACGGTGAGTTCTGGCACCGCCACCACGCGTGAAACATAGCATGGGGACGTTGACTCTTAGTTCAAATGTGCTTAAAAAAAATTTACATAGTTAAACACTAGATATTGTTAGCACTTGATATTTTTTATGCATCTTTAACAGTTAAAATAGACGTTTCCTACATAGCTCTGACCTTGAATCCGCTTAGCAGAACAAAATCCTAAGCTTTAACTAAGTACTGTAAGTGAAAAGTACATACCAAAGTCTTCTGACAATCTGCCAGGTTAGTAGTAGCAACACTTTTTGTCAGAATTATTCAGATATTTTAAGTCTTTCAAAATCTCATCAGTTTTCCATTTTGAGATTTAAATTTTAGTCATGACTTTTTCCTTTTACTGAGGTACATATTTTTTTTCTTATTTTTTAAAAAGTCATTGAGTGAATGCCAAGTTTATTTTTGTTTCCAGGGAATGGTGTCTAGAATAAAGCTTCTGCAAAAAAAACAAAATGCAACTCCATTAAAGAATATGTCCGTTGTCTGCATGTCAGAACAGAATTTAGCTTGCTTGAGGCACAAGCTATATGATTTATGAAAGAAAGCCTTTTCCGATCCTGCATGTCTAACCTTCTGTCTGTTCATCCTGTGCCATGTGGCAGATGAAAAATGTAACCTGAGAGAAAACAAACTTCTACTTTGAAAGATTCCGGCTAAGCGAAGTTTGTTCATCTGAAATACTTGCTCCCAAGCAAAATGGCCCCCAGAAATGTCTCCGTTTCTCTTCTAGGGTTTTAACATCCTTGGGATTTTAAAATGATAAAATTAGAAAGAAGAAATCTTGGCACCCCATTGATATAGTGATTTGAAAAATACATGTCTCATTCTTTGTCAAATAAAATATAGAAATGAATAAAAGCTTCAGAAAAAGTAGAAATAAAAGCAAGCAGACAAAACATCTCTCCCTACTCTGTTCTTTTGTCTGTTCCTGCAGTTCTCCTCCGCAACTGATGGTTAGTAAAGTCTTCTCGGCCAGGATGGGCAGTTTCTGTGGGAGTACAAACAAGTAAGTAAGTGTGGGGTGTCCCCCCACCCCACTGTTGCAAGTCGCTGCTTCTGGGGTGTCCCTCACCCCCCACTGTTCCAAGTGGCTGTTTCTGGGGTGTCCCCCTCCACCCTCCACTGTTCCAAGTGGCTGTTTCTGGATGGAGTCACTCCTTGTGACTCTTTTTTGAGATGAGAGTTAGGACAAGTCCACATTAACACAGGGTTTTCAAGGTGGCCGTTGTCCAGTACACAGTGAGTGTGAAAGGGCCCTGGACCTTATCAGTTGGCCTTGAAGACAGATCTGTCTATATGTATATTTGGGGTCTCTACCTGTTACCCTCTGTTCCTACTGACAGACACCAAATTTTCATTTCCTGCAAAATGAAATGTGAAGGGGAAAAAAAGGAGGGACCACAGTAATGAGCTGTGGTATCCCCGATATTATTTTATCTTATAGTCTTATCGGGACTTTTCCCTGGTGGTCCAGTGGTTAAGATTTTTGCCTCCAATGCAGGGCGTGCAGGTTCAATCCCTGGTCAGGAAGCTGGGACTCCACATGCCTCATGGCCAAAAAAACAAAAACATTGTGCAAAAGCAGTGTTGTAACAAATTCAATAAAGACTTTAAAAAGGGCCCACATTAAAAAAAAAAAAAACCTTAAAGCCTTGTTTGTTAGTTTCCTCATTTGTTTATTTCTAAAGGGATGAGGCACAGGGTGAGCTTGCCAGGCTGAGAGGCCTGCCCTGAATGGCAGGAAAGGTTGCCTGTACTCACTGTCAGAGCCATCTGTGCCAGCTCCGCGGTTGGTGGGGACTCGGGTCAGGCTGTGTTTTGATTTTTGCTTCTGAGTTCCTCCCCCAACTCTTAATTTTGCTCTTCTATGTAGACTAAGAATATTTCAGCGTCTAACTTAACTCTTACTTGGCACATTTGTTCATGTATTTTGAATTTTCCAAGCAGAAATATTTTATATCCTTCTTTTTTTTTGAATGAAATAATAAAACATTTGTTATACTTGGGTAAGTTTGAAAGAAATGTTTTTTATAAATTAAAGGGGTATTCTTTGGGGTCAGATAAAGGCTGTATTTTTTTTTTTTTTTTTACAGTCTTCAGAAATTAAAAGTATGTTCCTCTGCAAATTTGGGTGCTTTTGAGTAAGTCTGCTTACTTTCAGTCCAGTAAAGAATTTATATTTTTGAGCATTTTAAGACTGGATTGTCGGGACTTAAGCATAGGAATTAATGTTTCTTTTTTTGTGAGATATTCTTTTTCAGATCTTTGCTACTACCTGAATATTTATTATACTAACTTCAATAAAATATTGAGCTCAGGTTTAAGTAAAAATATTTTATCCTCAAAATCTTTTTTATTTCACTTCTTACTAAATACAATAAATTATTAAAATCTGCTTCTCTCACACCTATGTTGTTGTGTTAGTCACTCAGTCATATCTGAGTCTTTATGACCCCAAGGATTGTAGCCCATTAGGCTCATCTGTCCATAGAATTCTCCAGGCAGGAATACTGGAGTGGGTTGCCATTCCCTTCTCCAGAGTATCTTCCCAACCCAGGGATAGATCCTGGGTCTTTTGCATTGCAGATTCTTTACCATCTAAGCCACCAGGGAAGCCCTCTCACATGTTTATGAGTAATTCTAACTTTTTAGAAGTTGTGGAATCAGACTCCTGTAAAAATCATAATTTCCATTATATGGTCCTCCTGAAAAAGGCTGCCGAATTTCTCATGGATGTTAACTAAGAGTTAAAATGAATTTCATTTTGAAGGTTTATGTAAAATTACCCTTGAAATAAATAGCATTAGCCTTGGTCTTAATCACCAAAACAAGATTTTAAAGTTTCTTATTCCCCATTATATAATGTGAAATTGTATATTTGGATTGTAAATGTTTGGAATGTGTCATTTAGTTTTATAGGTTGAACTACTTCCCAGAACCTTTCTTGTCGTCTAACAAATTCCCCTGAAGATTAATTCCCTCTAGTAGATGTGAAACTTTATTAATTTATAAAGAAAAATCTGACCAACTGGTGGATTGTCTTGTACCTGAGAGTCTGTTAGCAAGCAGCTGTATTCATCTCTTGATGTTTCTCTCCTGTCTCTCCCTTCCATCCCCTTCTGGACTTAGCTTGCAAGACAGCTTCGAATACATCAACCAAGATCCTAACCTGGGGAAACTGAACACGAATCAGAATAACCTGGGTCCCTGTCGGACCGGAAGTAACCTAGGTAAACTCCACCGCATAGACGGGTCTTGCTTTCTGGGCCCCCTGCTGCGGGTGTGCGTTTTGCTTTCTTTTGAGTTTGCGGTGTTGTTTTGTTCTGGCCGTATCTTTAATCTGTGTTTATTTCTGTGTGTACCTTGTCCGCCCCCTGTGTTGTCTCCGCCGCAGGTGCGCTGCAGGGATGCGGCGGCAAGCTGCCGCCAGGGGCGGCCGAGGGAGGACCTCTCCGGCTCAGCCGCAGTGCCTCTTTCTTTGCAGGTTTGTGTGGAATGCTGAGCACGGTGTGACCTGCACACGTTAATAAATCCTGGGCAGGTTCTTGGAAACAAATCCTGTTTGGCACCTCTCTAGAAATCCAAGGGGCTCTTGAGATAATTAGTTCCAAATGCTGCCAAGTTCCCCATGTTCTGAAACTTCCACCCGTGAACCCTTATTGTAAAAGTCTCCCTTAATACCCCAGTGTAAGCTGATTTTGATCCAAAATGAGCCCTTCGTATTTCTAAGAGGATAATATCTTCTGATCTTCCTTGGCCTCTTCTGCTGCTGTGAACTGTCTCTCTTTACTGTGGCATCTTTAGTCCACTTTTCACCTGCATCCTTAGCTGCACAGTCTCTTTAAAAGTCACTCTAACAACAGCATGGAAGACCAGCCTCACTCACTTTCTCTCTGGCACTTAAGTAGCTCAAATGCGTTTTCCAGCTTCTTTACAGGTGTGATTGTCTCCGTCTCTCTGGGTAGGTACACTCTGAGCAGAGGCTGTCTGCTATCTGCTGTAGGCTGGCATGATTAACAAGTGTGGAAGTCTTCACTGCTAACTTTAAAGGTTGTGTTTATGGCAAATGGTATGCTTCATTCCATTTTTCTTTGTAGCCCAGAATATGCTAGGCACCCTAGTTAACTGACAGACACTCTCCTACCTACTTCAGAGTGAGGAGAACAAGTTTGTTTATACACTGTCCTTAAAATTGTAAAAATAAACGTGCTTCACAAAAGAGCTGGCAAATATAACACTGAGGCAGGGCAACCTTGTGCACTGTAAAGCTAACTGTCGCCACATGTCAGCTACCTTCTAGCTCAATAAGGAGACAGTTAAGACTGATCTGAAGCATTCCTAGAAGTCTGTAATCCTTTACAGTGTTTTCTTTTTTTGTTAATTTTTTTTGGAGTATTGTTGCTTTACAATGTAGTGCTCGTTTTTACTGTCCAGCAAAGTGAAGCAGCTTTACGTGTACATATATCACCTCTTTTTCTGGATTTCCTTCCCGTTTAGGTCACCACAGAGCGCTGAGTAGAGTTCCTAGTGTATACAGTAGGTTCTCATTAGTTATCTATTTTACTACTGATACTATGTATAAAATAGAGCGTTTTCTAAGCAAGTCTACAGTAGTGTATACAGTAGGTTCTCATTAGTTATCTATTTTACTACTGATACTATGTATAAAATAGAGCATTTTCTAAGCAAGTCTACAGTAATTCTGAATCTAGGTATGTATGGAAAAGAGGTGGAGGAAAAATAATTGAAAATAAATATGTGTTTTCTATCTACCAAGAGAATGGGTTATAAAACAGAGAAACATTTTGTCAAATTTATGAACTGGTTTTCACGTAGTTCTCTAGCTTGCCTATAGTTGTTACTAAAACTGATTATAAAACATTTTGGAGTTTCTTAATATTTTGAAATACATTCTAATATAGTGAAAATACTTAAGTACTATTTAAAATCTACTAATGAGGAAAATGCCTCAAAGTATCTACTGCAGGATGCAGTTTATTGTATCAAGTGCCCACATAGTTTATGANCTCTTTCCCCTCTCCTCCTCCCCCCTCTCCTCCCCACTATTGTCCTCTTCCCTCTCTCCTTCTCCCCCCTCTCCTCTTCCTCCCCCATCTCTGTCTTTGCTGCACTGAATTCTGCTTTCTCGTTCCTCTCTATGTACGCTCACGCCGGTCCTCACTAGCCATCATAAAACGAGAGCAGTTGACTTGAATGGCCGGGTGACCAAGTTTCCTTGCCTCCCACAGCACACAGCACCCCGGTTGATATGCCGAGCAGAGGACAGAACGAAGACAGGGACAGCGGCATCGCCCGGTCAGGTACGTGTGCTTCTCCTCCTGTTTGGCGTCACCCATGGGGTGAGCACTCTGAGCTCTGGGCCTTCAGGGGCAGTGTCCAGGCATGATGTGCACCAGGATGAGCCCTGGTGGTGAATGCACACTGAGAAATGTCCCTCTAAAAAGAGAGACGCCTCTCTGAGCCAGTGGTCCCTGCTTGCTGAGTGCTGAGGATCAGATCACGGGAGGGCCAGTGTCTGTTGGTGTCACTCTGACCGTGACCGTGGCAGAGCTGCCTGCTACCCTTTCACTCCTCTGTCCTGCAGACATACTGCTCTAGATTTTATCTCTGGTGCTTTTTCTCCTTGTGTCAGGCTGTTACTGACCAGGGTTCTTGACCTCCTTAATCAGTAGAAGATTGACCAGAGACCAGACACAGAGTTCAGACAAGGCTTTGTTGGGCTCCTGCTGCAGCAGAGGGTGGCGAGAACAAGTAACAGGTGCCCTAGCTTGCTCCTGGAGAGGAGTGAGCTGAGCTGGTTCCTTACATGCGGTGAGGGGAGGAGTGCGTCCAGGGATCAGGCTGGAGCGGTGGTTTAGGTGGTCTGCTCACCCCTTAGGTGGTGGTATGTGCAGAGGGCATGCACAGTACCCTGCTTTTACTCCCAGCACTCCGCTTTTGTTCCTGGATCTTCAGAAGTTGCAGTTAGATTTTTTGGTCTTTTTGTGTCTTTTGTCCGTAACTTGCCCCAACTGCACATGCAGGCAGTTATTTTTAGCCCCTTCTAATTTCTTTGTATCCGTTGAGACATTTATCCAGGCCCAGGCACTACAGCAGAGGGTCCCAGGTCGCAGCCTGTCTCAAAGCCTTAAACTTTGCCAAGACTGCTTTTAAGATCTCTTGGTTTCTGCTCTTATACCTGATACTGCTGTTGATTTTGATTTGTGGTTCAGATCAGAGGTGTAGATTCCTTGCAGTGAAAGAAAGGTGGTGCGTGAATGATGTGGAATTGGAGGGTTCAGGGGTGTGTGGGCTGTGCCCACAGCAGACTCTGGGCACCTCTTTTGGCCAGTTGGCACTCATTGTGCTGAGCCTGGGCTGGGCTTGCTGCCTTAAGTCATTTCTGTTTCCCTCCGGTCCCTTCCGTGTGGTGCCGAGCCCTTCACCCTGATCTGTATCGCTCTGCTTCCAAGTTCACTGCCAGGTGAGATGGAATTTGCGAGTCCACCTGTTTGGTTAATGTATGTCATGTGATGAAAAGTACACAACATTCCGTGTATGATTAGTTTCAGTGAGTTGATTCACTTTGGGTTCCCTGATCCCATCTTAGGTAAACTTGGTCAGAGGTGTAACTGCCATTAGTTAGACCTGTGTTGTTTTCATTTGTAGCAGTTTTTACATAAACGTAAAACCTGGAATACTCGCTTGTGGAGTGGTAAGAGGATCATCTGACTTTGTGTTCCACGGGGCTTGGGATGATCTCCATCCATATGGGGCGCGGTCTGCATCCACCCTGCAGGAGGGTCTTTGAGTCACATCCATCCAGCAGCCACTGGAGGCTGAGAGTGTGCGGTGTGATGGTCTTGGTGTCCCAGAGTCCAGCCCCTGGAGCCTCTCCAGTCAGGCCTGGCTGGGGCTGGCTCTGTCTTGGTTGAGTCTCCAGGCAAAAAGAAGCGGGAACCACAGTAGAAGCAAGGCCATGCTCCATCCCAGTTGCTGCCTTAGCAGCTCATAGAATTTGGTGTATTTGTCTTTATGTGGTGAACACCCAGGTGGCACTAGTGGTAAAGAACCCACCTGCCAATGCAGGAGATGTAAATGACACAGGTTCAATCCCTGGTCAGGAAGATTCCCTGGAGGAGGGCATGGCAACCCACTCCAGTATTCTTGCCTGGAGAATCCCATGGACAGAGGATCTTGGACAGTCCATAGGGTCCCAAAGAGTTGGACACAACTGAAGTGACTTAGCACGTATGCGTGCACACCTTTGTGTAATGAACACTCTTTGCCCAAACATGACCAGTATTTGACCGAGTTCCGCTCTGAGCCCTGAGGTCACAGGGTTCCCACTGTAACTTTCTCTTATGTGTCTGTTTCTGCTCCCTCTTGTTCCAGAAAAGACTAAAGAGACTGGGGGGAGCTGGTGCCAACAGAGAGTTGGCACCTTAGGCGGAAGTTTGGGTGTTCCTGGGTAGCTTCTCGGTTTATCATGTGTTTGGTGTGAAGGTTCACGTTGCGCACCTCAGAATCCCCGTAGGTTTGGTAGTCCTCTGACTCTAAATCACTCCTTAGATAAGTCTTTTTTGGCCTCAGAGAAGCAGGAACGTTGAGGGGCTGAATGTGCATTGAAGTGAAAGGTCCATAGCAGCTGCATCTGGGCATTTTCTCGGGAGGAGGAGGCAGATGTGAACCTGGTGCAAATGTGAACTCTGACTGCCCTGGTGACTCAGCCCGTGAACCAGGCACCTCTCCTTTAAGGCTCCCAGCCTCCTGTTGAGGGGATGCCAGATGTGGGGCCGGAGGGGCCTTCTGCTTTCCTTCCTTCTGGGAGCTGCTTTGAAGTCATCGGATGCCCCCAGGATGGGTCTCCCTCCACTGAGGCCTCTTTTGCTCCCCAGACCCCTACTCCTCGTCACCCACACCATGTGGGACCACGTGCTCGTCCTGAAGCAGAGCGGGGACTCCCACTGTTCGACCTCAATCAGCAGGAGAAGACGTGGATAATTAATGACAATTTTTTTTTTCTTTTTCCCTTAATTTGTAACTTCCTGTCTTACTAGTTGAGAGATGGGAAAAATATTGTTAAATAGATTTTTATTTTTTAAAACAGTTGTAGATTTGCAGAGCAGTTGAGATGATAGTAGGGAGCATCAGTGTACCTTGCACAAGCCTCCCTGTTAGTAACATCTTGGTTAATAAGGTGGCGTGTTTATTAATATTTGTCATGTCCACTTGGCTCCACTCCACTCTGACAGTTTCTCAGTCTTTGTTTTGGTGACCTTGATGGTTTCAAGAACGAGCAGTCAGGAATTGTGTAGAATGCCAGTTGTTAGGATTTGCTTGATGTTTCTCACGTGACTAGACTGGGGTTCTGGGTTTTAGGAAGAAGGGTCACAGAGGTGAAATGTCGTTTTTGAAAAATATTTTTTGGCTGTGCCGGCAGTTAGTTGCGGCACTCGGGATCTTTGGTCTCTGTTGCTTTGTGCTCCGTGTGTATCCGTGGCTCTGTACATACTGCTGTCTGTGGCACCTGCACCTGTGTTCAGTCAAATGTGAGTTGGTGCTGGTTTCTCTGCTGCCCGTGGGAGCTCGTTATTCATGAGCACGGGGACCATCCCACCCTCCCCACCTGGCTTATCTGCACGCCACCCTCCGACAGCGAGATGCCGGCCTCCCCTGCCTGCCCTGCATTTAGGTGACGGATTCACTGCAGGCCACACACACCAGCGTCCGAGAGCTTAACCTGCCCTCCTTGGGAAACGCCTTTGTACACTGGAGTGCAGTGCTCGTGTGCAGCTCCTCTGACCTTCAGTCTCACAGATGTCCACTCACATCTAAGGTGCCCGAGGCCGACACCTTGGGAACATGGGGAATATCTGCAGCTGCACGTGCCAGGCAGCAGAAGCTCCGAGATCACAGCCGACACCGGCTCATCCTCATGATGAACTAGCTTTCTGACAGCTGCCCCAAACTCTGAACATCACACATCACGCCGGAAGGAAAAAAAAGCCTCTTTTTTTTTTCTTTTTAAATCATCCTCCAAACAAAAAAAAAAGTAAAAAAATAAATAAATAAATAAATAAATCATCCTCCATAGAGAGGAGCCTGATCTGATGTGAGGAGTCTGAGAGGATTGGGTGCAGCTTCCCGGCAGAAAGTCACCAGGGGTGTGTGCGCCCCCTGCAGGCCGATGTCACAGGAGGGGCGGGTCTGGACTCGGACCGCATGCTCGTTGTGGTGTGCCCTGGGAACGCAAAGCGCCGTCTGGGTTTCAACTCCGGGAGGGCCCTCTGTTGTTGGAGAACTCCCTCCTTCAGCTGGTTTTCACAGTTGGGCCAGCTTGGCACAGTTGAGGTTAAGAGGAGGGCTTGGAAGGATAGCGCTGATTCGGGCTTGACCATCTATACTGCGGCTTGGACGAAGCTCAGGTTCTTCAGTTCATTGTGCTTCTTGTATTTCAGGCCAGACCCTTCGCGTGCTCCAAGAATAGACATTTCTCTTCACAAATCTGTCAGTTCTTTCACATTAGCTCTTTCCTTTCTAGACTTGTATTCATCTATACCTGTTTAAGAAAAATTAGAATCAACAAGTAATGCACACTGCAGCCAAAACTACAAGACATCTAAGAATATTTCTGAGAAAAGATGTGTGATACTGTCAGGGAGAAATTTTAAAATCGTTGTTAGAGGAATGCATATATATTATCTGGAGAGAGAGAGAAATCGAGTTCCACAAATAAATATGTAAATTCAGTATAATTTCAATTAAAATCCCTTGTGAAGTTGGGCAAAATCACTTTTATTTGTGTGGAAGAGCAAAGGACCAAGAGAATGTTTATGCTTTCCAAAATCCTTTGTAGATTTCATTCTTAGAGTTCAAACTATGGCTAAAAAGACATGGGAAAGTTAAATAACTTGGCATATAAATATAGAGTGAGTAGTTCCAGGGCTAGGCTAGAATTTATATCCTAGATGAGGGATTAAAGTGTAAGGTATTTTTGGTCTAATATTTTTCATGCTAAAGAGAAATGAGCTATGAAGCCATGAAGGGACAGCGGCAAACCTAAAAGCCCATGACCAAGTGAGAGAGGCTGATGTGATGGTGCGCTGTGTGAGAATCCCTGTGTGGCATCGTGGAAATGACGGAGCCATGGAGACAGTAAAGAGACGGAGGCTGTCAGGGCTTGGGTGGGGGTAGGTGGGGGGAGGACAGTGAAGCTATGTTGTGTGGTGCTGTAGTAGTGGTGGGCGCGTGTCAGTATTTCTCCAGACGGCGTGGAATGTGTAGCCAGGAGTGAACCCCCGTGAAGCCATGGACTCTG